GACCCACATTGGGACTCGTTCCTTTGAGTTTTGCACGTCTTTGGCAAGCCTGACCATCCCGAACTCTGTGATGCACATTGGGGCTCATGCCTTTCAGAATTGCACCTCTTTAGCAAAGGTGACCATTCCAGACTCTCTGACCTACATCGCGGATTATGCCTTTTCTGGTTGCAGGTCTTTGTCGAACTTGACCATCCCGAACTCGGTGACCCACATTGGGGATTCTGCCTTTGAACTTTGCAGCTCGTTGGCAAGCTTGATCATCCCGGACTCAGTGACCTACATTGGTCTTGGTGCTTTCCTGGAATGCAGTTCTTTGGCCAAGTTGACAATCCCTGACTCAGTGATCCAAATTTCAGATTTTGCTTTTCGAAAATGCACCTCTTTGGTTGACTTGACCATTCCAGACTCAGTTACCCACATCGGGAGTTGTGCTTTTGCAGATTGCAATTCTTTGGCAAGCTTGACCATCCCAGACGCAGTCACCCACATTGGGAATGATGCCTTTGAGCGTTGCAGCTCTTTGGCAAACTTGACCATCCCAGACTCAGTGACCTATATCAGGAGTCATACCTTTGCGAGTTGCAACTCCCTGGCGAATCTTACCATTCCAAACTCTGTGGCCTACATTGGAAATTTTGCCTTTTCTGATTGCATCTCCTTGACAGACTTGACCATCCCAGACTCAGTGACCCACATTGGGAGTCATGCCTTTCGTCATTGCACCTCTTTGGAGACCTTGACTATTCCAGACTCAGCGATCCACATTGGGGACTACGCTTTTCAGGGTTGCAGCTCTTTAGTAGACTTGACCATCCCAGACTCAGTGACCCACATTGGGCGTTTTGCCTTCGCAAGTTGCAGCTCCTTACCACATCCGACCATTCCAGACTCTGTTGACATTGGTCTGGGTGCCTTTGAGAACTGCTTGATCTTGGCGGAAGATCGCTTTCGGTCGAGCTCTGCGCTTGCAAGCTGAAGCGTCGCATTGATGTCCGTTCACCTCCCTACGTGGTGCGCTCCTAGTCCGTTCACCCGGAGAAACCTCTAACCCAGACACGACCGATGGGACTGCCATATATATATATGCCTACATTGACCCCAATGGCACCCCTGGCCGTTTCGCAGTCCGGACTGGCAGTCCCATGTGCTGGTCGTGTTTGGGTAAGAGGCCCTGGTCCTGGAGATGGTCCAGTTCGCATGCAGCGACAGCCGCAAGGCGACTGGACATGTCGCTCGACACCGACATCGTCGATCGGAAATACCGTCGGTGGACGGGTCGGTCTCGACGCAGCGTCAGAGGGCATATTAGATGGTGATTGCAACATCATGGCCGATCTTTGATAGTGTTCTCTATAGAGAAACAAATCCCTCCAGGTAAGGTTGACACAACTTTTGGCAGGGTGAAGTGAATCCAGAAGGGTCCCGGCAGGACTCAGCCCTGTGGACGGAGGAGCCCTGTTTAGTTTTTTGAGGTTACAAAGGGTCCATGTTGGTTGAACGTCCAATCCTGAAAAATGGGTGGCCTAATTGAACCGATAGACGCGACCACCCGCTAGGGGCCCTCGGATCGGAACCCAATCCCTGTTTGGTTCGGGCGTCGTGAAGGATGGAGCGTCTGGGAAAGAGAGTAAGCTTCCCAAAAGCCATCGGCACTGGTAGATGCACGTCGCCAAGAAGTCTTAGTGTTCAAAAGACTGGACGTCCTCAGATGATAGATCTAGACTACCTGGACCTTCAGAAAAGACAGGTATACAAGCAGATGCCTTCGACTCCCTGACCTTCGTTTCGGTACAAACTGAGACTCCGGTACATCAATGCTGTGCGGCCGTGCGAGCATGGGTTTGGTCAGAATCGATCCACGAAGACGAAGGGATCTTAAAGAATCATATTGGCCAGACACGACCGGTGGGACTGCCAGTCCGGACTGCCTTCATTTCACGGCTTTCGGGGTGGTGCCAGGGGGGTCTGTCTGGGGCGGCAGTCCGGACTGGCAGTCCCATCGGTCGTGTCTGGGATTGACAGACATGTTCTTTTTTGTTGCTTTTGAGTCTTCAAGGGATATATTTGGATTTTAATGGATTTGATCTTGATCTTGACAGACAGGTCAAAACATTTTATCTTTAAGGGATCGATGTTGATTTTATCTTGAAACTGGAAAACGATTTCTGAAAGAGACCAGAGACAGAGGACCAGATGTAACCCTCAAAACCCGGGTTGGTCGACACGGGTTGGTTCGGGGCAGCCATGTCGACACGGGTGAATTCTCAGGATGATCCCTGCACCTTTCCTTTTCAGGTAGACGACCGGCTGCAACGGTGGCTGGGCGGAACTGCATCCCGAAGGCGAAAGAACTCGTCGGCGCTGTGTGGGAAACGTGTCTGCCAAATCTTCATGCGCAAAGCGCCAGGTTCGGCAGACACACCAGGTTCGGAAGATCCAGATATTTCCGTGGGAGAGGTGTGAAAACAGAAGAGTAAGTCAGCACACCATTGAGCTCCGCCCTAAGAATCCGTACGGGCTGTCCATGGGTTCGGGGTCCGACCCGAACACCGAAACGCAGGGCTCCGCGGCCTCAAAAACCTATCTGTTTGCGGGCCCGGATTCTTAGGGCGGATAGATAGCCTGTTATAGCATTGGTTGATTGATGGAGATGCCCAGCGTGTACAAGCAAGATGGACTCTTCACAGGGGTGTGAATAAATAGCCTCTTAGAGTTTAAGGGGTATCCTGGATACCAAGAGCCATGTCCAATTGGCTGGTGCTCATTTTCATGAACACACTTCATTTAAAAAACACTATTGTTGAACTGTTACTGGGGCCTAGCCACATTGAAGGTATCCATGCAGTCTCCAAAAAACAACTTTATATAGTTGGAATATGCTGTACCTGGCGACCCCTCTATTCCCCAAGGTTCGAACGGTTCAGAAGAAGCTGGGCGCCAGGGAACGCCAGCGCACCGTGATGACTCCCAAGAGAGGTTTTTCACAGCCGTGTTTATAGCCCATCCCATATGTACCAGAGACCAGGATCCGAACGTATCAAGTCTCCTCTCAACCTCTCTTGGTCGTCCTTTTTGGTTCCCCAGTTGTGAGGAACGGATCCGACCCACTTAACCCGAGGATTCGGGGCCGGTCTCGCGTTTGGGGGGTCGTTGCCATGCTTCGTATCTCGTCCTCTCGGTGGGTCGACTTGCCGTGCCTCAGAAGCCAGGAGAGTGAAGGTATGTGAAGGCCTGAAGTAGATTGGGCGGGCGTAGAGAGAACTTCCATGAAGTGGATTGAAGATGAAGAAGATCCAGCACTCTCCTGGCCAGGCTGTTTGGAGACCCTAACAGCTTTTCTGGAGCACCGGACTTGGAAACACAGGAAGCTGGCTATGTCGCAGGTCCAGCAGCTTGCTCAGCTTGGCTCCCATCCTCGATTCGTCCGACGCACCACCGGCGTTCCTGGATTCGTCAGACGAGTTGGGGGGACCAGCGGTTCGGGTCGGTCAGGTCAGGTCATCTCCGTCCGATCCCCCTGGGGTCCAACCGTCCCGTTTCGGAGGTCCTGCGGTGCATCCAGGCAGTTCCCACGAGAGCTCGCTGGGAGTCACCAGTGGTTCCAGGTCGACTACTAAACCCATAGACCGAACGAATCTGTTCCTGAGAGCACGTGCTTTGTCTGGGATCCACGTCGGGCGGACGGACCGACCATGAGAGAGCCGGTTTCGTAGGACCGAACCAGAAAACAACACCGGAACGGACCCTCCGATGCGTACCGTGACTCCCAAGCGAGGTTGTTTTCATTATAGCCGTGTTATGGCGCTCGCCCATCCCGTATATATGTACCACAGACCGATCCCAGGGTCTGAACGTATCAAGTCGACCTCCTCAGCAACCTCTCAACCTCATTTCGGTCCGACGCCGCGTCACGTCCGACCTCGGGACCTCGGGACCTCGCGTCCGCGTCGGACTCGGGATCCGGGCGGGCGGCCGTCGGCCGGATCCGGCATCCGATCCGACCCGTCGGCCCCGGCTCCGGTCGGATCGCGGAAAGGTGAGGACGTGCGGAGATGCGATGCCGGAGATGGGGAGAACCAAAAAAGAGCAGCCCGGGTGGGGGGGGGGGGGGGCAGCGAGGTTCCAACACGTGGGTGTGGTTCCAACACGGCCTGGCCGCGACGTGGCCGCATGAGGCATGCAACCCAGGGCGCGGCGGTGGGGGTGGAGAGGGCACCTATAGCAGACTTAGCAGTTAGACCGCCGAACAGAATGGCAGGTGCGGGCAGGTGGCATGAAATCAACACCAGCTCTCCCAACGAAGGTGAAGGGAGGTGAAGGGAACTTGGTTATGAGATATATGCATGGCAAGTTCTATACGTAGTGGCCATGGCAACCATTCTGAGTCCAGGTTTGTTTCATTCTTCGACTACAAAATGTAAAGTCAGATTTTTTGTGTACGCATAGGATTCGAAGGTCCTACCCAGATGCTCCGTTTTCGTTCACAGCCCTACCTTCGAATATCGAGTCAGTGGCAGTGGATCCCTACCCTAGGGATCCACATCCCTTCTCAGGAGGTTCGACTGGGCCCTCCAAGCCATAGATAGTCTCCGTCCTCACCGTACCTGAGGTTCGGTACGACTGGATCCCTAGGGCGGGCGCCAAGAGTGGGCGCCAAGGCGCCTTCTGAGTCTCTGTGCCGCTCCGGCTCTCAGGAACTCGGTTCCGAACCGTCCATTTGAAAGGGCACCGATTGACACCCCGGTTTGCGGTCGACCGTGGACACCGGTCGACGCGGTCGGGAACTCCATATCGAGCTGGAGAAGCACTGGTGATTCAAAGCACCAGAAAGCAACACCTAAGAAGTTCCACACGAAAGATCACGATCAAGCACCTCTTAGTTCATCTCTTAGTTCATCTCTTTTTCTTGCCTCCACGCACGCGGCGCCACATCTTCGCAGATGTGACGCGGCTCTTCGCGGCGATCTTCTCGTTTGAAGATCTCGTGAACCGTTTCGATGGCAAAGACGCGAAGCACTTGGCTTCCCTTCCTCATCTTGGCCACCAGCTGTGCCAGATCGATTGCAAGCGCCAGTTGCACCAGCAGCGCTTGCCGGGATGAAGGTGGAGTTTTGGGGCTTATCTCCTTGATGAGTCGAATGAGATAGGTCGAATGAGTCGAAGTCTCCCCTCCAAACAGGGAACTCCGGAGCTCCTACCAGTCGACAGGTCCGTGAAGGTGACCTGAACTGGGACCGGGGTACCTATAGTCCAGTTCGGATCCTTCAAGCTCTGTTGGTAGCCGAGATCCTGGAGCTTCATTTTTTAAAGTGTCCAATGTCCCTAAGGTCCTGGGTGGTAGTGGAGGCTGGAAAGCCTCATCCCGAGAGTCTAAGGTGCTGGTAGCATCTATCTCCCCCAGACAGTCCCAAGAAGTATCCGCCTGGCACATACCAGACCTACTACAGTGGCCTGGACCAGTTCCCCATGAACAAATGCAGGTCTGTTCACACCCAAAACCATGTTTCGATGATAGAAAACCAGGTTGTTTGATGCTTTGACTGGTGCCCCTGGTACCGGGGGTATAGCTGCTATAGTGCAAACACGTGACACACCTCCCATCCTTCCTCGTCACCCGTCCTCGGCACGTCGTCCTCGGATGTCCGAGACCGACCACGGGGAGGCGATGAGCAAGTGTTCATGCAGCGCAAGCCGGTGGCTGGACTTGAACACCATGGAGCTGGGCTCAGCGACGGTCACGGTGACAAAGGAGGAGAGGGGCATTGGAGTCCTGGTTTTCGTGCGGATCAGATGGTAATTTTTGTTTGATTTTCCCTATACCAGGACCCTTCGACAGGTCACCAATTGAGACCTGTTAGGGTCCAACAACCCTCAACTAACAGCCTGTTGGAGGATGCTGGTATATGATTTTAATTTGATTTAACCTGGGGATTATGGCTTTTGATTTGTTCAAGGTTCCAAGCAAATCCAAGGAGTGCGAAGATTGCTTGGTGGTTGCCTGCTGTGACTTGGCAACTCAGTGTCGTATACATTGATTGGCTCCAGGAGCGGCGCGCATCGGGCGCGCATCACGGATTGACAGGGGCTGCGGGTCGCACGTGGGCCCCGTTCGGGGGGATTCGATATTCTGCGGTCGAAGATCCTGGGTGGATCAGTTGGCTACCAAGAGAGGTCGTTCGTGACCTGAACTAGGACTCCACCGGGGTACCATGGAGTACCATGGAGTACCTATATAGGGTCATTCAACCTCTGTTGGCAGGACCTTCCGTTTGAGGTGTCTATACATGGCCTCTTAGAGATTGAAGAGACCTGTTGGAGCGCCGTTGGGTGGATTGGTTCGTCCCAGCCGTTGGCCGTGGTGATTCCAGCACGACCTGTAGACGGGACTGGCCAGTCCGTTCTGCTGCCCCAGACAGACCCCCTGGCACCACCCCTGGCCGTGAAACTCGATATGTGACCCGTCTGGGACCCCACACGTTTGGGTGATCTTCGGGGCAACCCGAGCGGCACCCTCCGCTAGGCCGGGCGTGCGCACCGGACGTCGACGGTGACTGCGGGTGTCGCCAGTGAATCCCTGGGATGGACATGAACTCATATATGAACTCTCTGGTCCATGCAGATCACGTGCAGATCCGCTTTGAGAAATCCAGGCTCGGAGTCTGAGTAGACACTCAGACTGCGCTACGCGCAGTGCCAAGAGCGGTTGAGAGACCGCTTCACGTTCGGACCCCATAGTGGTACGTATGGGATGGGTGAGCTTTCAGGCTGTTCGTCACCTCTCTTGGCTCATACTGCAGTCGGGTGCTGGGATCATCCATCAGCAACATGTCCAACTTCATCAAGCGAACACGGCGGCCAGGCCAGCTGCAGCGAAATGCTAAGCTGCAAATCGGCCAGCGAACAGGCAACAAAACAGTGACATGAAACAACATGAAACCAAGAAGCAGGCACCTCTTTGACGAGCTTGACCATCCCTACCTCAGTGACCGGCATTAGGGATCGTACTTTCCGGGGTTGCAGCTCTTTGGTAGAATTGACCATTCCAGACACAGTTACCCACATTGGGGATGATGCCTTTTCCGGCTGCAGTTTGTTGTCAAACTTGATCATTCCTTTTTCTCTGTGACCATCGGGGAGGATGCAGGTCTTGAGCGTTGCAGGTCTTTAGTCTTGAGAGTCTCGGAGTCGGACCAGGTTCGAGATGCAACAACTGCAGGGGTGCAGGTTCGAAGCATCCTAATTTTTGTGTCACTGTCATGAATGCTTGCTTCGAGCGTGTGCAGCTGCTTTCTGAATCCGTGCCACCCACTCGACCGACATCACTGGCACTGGCGAGTAACGACAGCTGTTGGCCGAAAGGAACCCTTCCGGGAACACGTCTTGAACCGCACGCGCGAGCCGCCGCGCGAGCGGTGAGGCAACCAGACTCCCTGACCAGGCAAAGTGAACAAGCAAGAAAGGTCGGCAAATCGACCAGACACCTGGGTGTGTAGCTCTATAGTAGGAAGACTCCTTCACTATCCTCAACCACCAGCACTCAGAGGGTGGTTATTGGATGGAAAACAGATGGACAGGAGGGTCTAGAAACCAACCTTTGGGTGGTGGTGGCAATGGAAGTTGGCTTGACTTTTGTCTATATATGCTGGCCTAGGGGTCCCAATTCTGTCTCTTCCCTTTTTCAATACATGCTCACTGAAATGGAAGCGCGGTCCCTGACGATCTCTCAACATTCTTCCCAGGGACCCAATGAATTGGAATCTGAACCTGGCGTTCCACTGCAATGCGGCAAAAATGGACCGATACGGCAGCTGCTCCGAACCTTCATGAGGAGCTCAGCCAATGGCAGCCCACTTTAGGTTTCTGATCGCCCAATGTCGTTTGATCCGCTAAGTCGTGAGAAGACGCCGTGGTGATCGTGAAGACGTGCGATGGTCTAACGACGTCGCCGTGGAAGATCGGGTGGTTCAGCAGTGACTGTGACAGACATGAAGACAGACAGTGAAGGAATCAGACAGACTGTCAGACAGACATGAATATAAAGGAAGTTCCCAAATATGTTTTGATATGTTTCCCAATCACTATAAGGGAAGCCAACCATTTGCTTCCGACACGAAACTAAAAGGAATGATCAGCCTATAATTGAATCCACATCCGTAGTGATTCAGCCATGGCTATGAGAGTTTCATTCCAGCAACCAAGTGGTGAAGTCATGGTTCTTGAAGTCACGCCAGAGATGACAGGCTGGGCGCTCAAGCAGCAGATCAAGCTGAGACAGTACTGGGACGAACTCACTCGCAGCACTACAAGTGTGGAGATTGTTTTGGAAGACAACCAATTGCTGGCCAATGATGCAAAGGTTTTGGACGCTGGAATTGCTGAAGATACGGTTGTGAGCATTGTGTTCAAGCCAAATGTCGTGATATGCTCCTGCAAAGAGGCGATCGCCAGTCTTGGCGGCATCATCGACTCAGAACTGTTACTTGTCGTCGAAATCCCAAGTGATGAAACTCAAATTGGTGAACGTGCCTTTGAGTCTTGCTATACTGTGGCTAAAGTCAACATCCCCAACTCAGTGACCCACATTGAGAATATTGCCTTTTGGAATTGCAGCTCCTTGGCGAATCTTACCATTCCAGACTCTGTGACCTACATTGGGGATGGTGCCTTTCAGGGTTGCAGGTCCTTGATGAACTTCACCATTCCGAACTCTGTGACCCATATTGGATTTGATGCCTTTGCAGGTTGTCACTCTTTGACAGACTTGACCATCCCAGACTCCGTGACGCACATTTGGGACGCTGCCTTTGAGGATTGCAGCCGTTTGAGAAACTTGACCATCCCGAACTCTGTGACCCACATTGGAGTGTATGCCTTTTCTGGTTGCAGCTCTTTGTCGAGCTTGACCATCCCGGACTCAGTGACCCGGATTGGGGACTATGCCTTCAGGGATTGCTTTGCTTTGGCAAACTTGACCATCCCAAGCTCAGTCACAAGCATCGGGAATAATGCGTTTACGGGTTGCAACTCTTTGGTGAACTTGACCATTCCAGACTCAGTAACCCACATTGGTAGCTATGCCTTCGAAAACTGCACTTCTTTGGCAAACTTGATCATTCCTGACTCAGTGACCCACATTGGAGATGGTGCGTTTCGTGGTTGCAGCTCCTTCACAAACTTGACCATCCCGGACTCAGTGACCCACATTGGGGACTACGCTTTTCACAGTTGCAGCTCTTTGGAGCTGAGAGTGTCCGTCTCTGGGAGGTTCGAGATGTACAGACTAGGTTTGGGGTGTCAAAGAATCGTGGCCACAGAGTGTCACTGTGATCAATGCCAGTACACTTGGTTTCTGAAAGGCTGGGTTTGTCCCCAACAGTGGTGCCACCGGCGCAAGCACGACCGGCATCGCAAGTTTGACGGCTAAACAGGTGGACGGCTCGTTCTGAACGGCTCGTTCTGTTTTCGTTGCTTTTGGATGCCTTTCCCCAGGGCATCCAGGCTAAACCACGATGTCGCTAGGTCTTCACAGGGCACCCAGACAGGAAGTGCTAAGCAGAAACCCTGGTTCCTTGTAGTTGTATAACTGGGATTCACTGGGTGGCTGTGGAGAGACCAAACGTCTCTGGTTTGGAGAAACCCACTGGTCGCCTTCAGAGTCGCGGTCTCTTCTTTGAGGTGCCATCCAGGAGCCTCTTTCGGTTGCGACCGTGTTGCGACAAAACGAGGTTCCCCTGCTCTCTCTCTTCCCGCGGGAAGACCGACCCCGGGGAGGGACACCCCAGAGGTGACGTTTTTGGAGGGAGGGAGGTGACCCCCTGGAGGGAGTTGTGTCGCTTTCTCTCGTGTGGAACGAACATCTGCGATTGGGTTTCTGGCCGAGTCGGACCGTCGGTTTGGATGTGGGACAGGAGCCCGGTCGGAAATCAATTGTGGGTTACTCGGCATGTTAAAGCTACCCAAAGGCTCAGAAAGGACCCTCAGTTCGCTAGGGTGAAATGACCCTCACAACCAGGGTGAAATGGACCTCCAACATGTAGCAGTTGGTTCGGGTCCATGAGCCTCTGGGTAGGACTTTTCACCTCGGGCGAACTCAGCATGTTCATCCATCTCTGACCATCCGAAGAAGCAAGAAATCTGGGCATCGAACCACCTGGCTGTGTGGCTCGTCCTTAGGGTCTGGCTCTCCCAGGGTCTCGATACACCAGTCGCCCGGAAACGCGGTCCATTGATTTTTGAACCTTCCCCTACAAGTCAAAGACCTCATTCTACTGGGGATGGTCATAGAAAACCAATACTTCAGAAGGTAAAAGACCAGGTTTTACTGGGTCTTTGGACTTGTAGGGTTCTTTTCAGCCGCCCGAAGTTGAATCCTGAAGAACCTGGGATTGACACCTCCACTTCTGCGACACATCGATTTTTTGCCCAGGCACCTCCACATCCCACCCCCAGGTCAACCACGCCCAGGGCCTGACCCGCATCACGAGACGTCCACGCGTGCGATCGCGTGGGGCGCCGTCGTCCGCTGAAGCGTCCGCCAACCGCTTTTGGTCGACTTCGCGAGCGAACGAACCCCCCCCCTTCCGTCCGCCGTGGCGCCGAGCCCGAGCGTTCCGCGTTTTGGTCTTGCAAGGTGATCTGGCTCGGTCTTCTCCTTTGGAGTTCCAAGTCGACCTCAGCTCGAGTTCTCAGCCGGAAGAGACATGAGCAGACCTCGGTGGAGCTGTGGAACTGTTGGGCCGGTGGTTGAAGCCAGGTTCGGGGCCGGGGGCAAAAAGCGGAGCCAAAAGGCGGAAGTGATAGGATCTTCAGACTGATCTTCAGTTCAGTCGCCAAGCTCATAGGATCTCATAATTGAGGATTTGCGTCAGGATTTGGAGATGACATGAGTGTTTTTGGTGAGGATCCAGTGAGGTGGCTGGGTACGCTGAAGATGAGGAATTAGAATGTTGATAGAGACAAGATACACTCCCTGGAACTGACATGGTTAAGTGGATGGCACCTTGGAAGACCATGAAATCCACTACAACCAGGGGATGGACTTCACTTCCGGTGTTAATTCCAGGGAGGGTAGCCTCTTAAGGGTCCAAAAACCACCCAACTTGGTTTCGGTCCTGGTTTTTTTCGGGCGCCCTGTCGATGTCGAGTGAACCATGAACATGGCACGGACATGGTACTGAGATGGCGGTCTTCTTTTTTGCTTACCATGCCATGCTCTGGGGATGCGGTCGTACCGAACCTCAGGTACGGTGTTGTGTTCGACACTGCTATGTAGGTGAGGGTCCAGTCGTACTGAACCAGGTCGGTGAAGGTACGACTGGATCCCTAAGGAGCGGAAACAGGGTCAGGGTAATTGGGTGGTTTTCTCCTTGGACGATTTAAAAGCTCGACCACTGCAGGAGCACTTTGATAAGCAAAAGACGTTGTGACGTTGCGCATTCTCCATGACTTCACCTGCTCAAGAGTGCCACTTGTACCGAGGTGTGCCACTGTTCTGACAAACCAGATCTCTACCAGGACCTTCCACCAAGTCCGGTGGTTGGAAGGGCACCCCGGTCATCACCTCGTAAAACGAGGCTGTTTGGGACCGACACCTCGACTGGATGGTCCTGGTACAGGTCATCAGCGTTAAAATCTTCAAAACGTCACGATGGTGGAGACTTGTTGGAGGTGGCTGGTCCTGGTCTAAATGCATGAGCTCGCAGGAACTATTCAGCTGGGCGACCGTGGTGTACTTTCCTCGCTGTTGTTCTTCCACTTACTTGTTCGTTTTGGTTCGTCCTCCATTTCAGTAAGACAGCACAGTGAAATGGTTCTTCCAAGGGTCACATGGAGTTGGGTGGTTTTTTTCTCCCATCCAGTGAGTCGATGTGACGTTCGCACCCCGACGACCTCCGTTCGGAACCGGCACCCCGTCGTACGTTTTTTGTATGGTTGTGTTCAACATCTTTTCATAACAAGACAGCAAGACTCAGCTGGACTCTTCGTGCTGAGACTCTTCGCTAAACACTCTTCGTGGGACGTGCTGACGTTGCTCAAGAGGCGAAAGCGCTATAGAGGTTTTCTCCTCACCCGGGAGGGGGTCGGACCCGACACCGAAACGCAGGGGTCCGGGGCCGAACCAGGGCCCCTATATGTTTGAAGGTCCGGATTCTTAGGGCAGGAGATCTCATGAAACCAAATCATCCAGGACCGGGGTGTCCTGGCGAGACCGACTACCCGGACTACCCGGACTAGACTTACCTGGGTCTCCTACTCCAGGGGCACCCGGACTGGAAGTGCTAGGTATGTGTGTTTTTTGGGGCTAAGAGTTATTTGGAATCCTGCCAAGTACCAGCACCTTCCAACAGGTGGTTTCTGGACACCCCTTAACCACTAAGAGGCTATTGGAAGGTCCTGGGACAAGCGATTTGGGATGATCCGAGGGTCCTTTTGTTTGTATTCTCTCGCAACGATGGTGATGAGTGATGAGTAGCATGTACGCTGCAGTGTAGCCATGGCGATGAGACTTTCAGCAGTGCTGCCCAGTGGCGAGACCATGAGTCTCGAAGTGACGCCAGACACCACAGGTAGAGAGCTCAAAGGGAAGATCAAAGAGCTTCACCATTTTTTGGACGCCTCCCGACCTTATGGTCGACCCAGTCCTCCGCGGCACCAGGACACCGATGAGTCTGCACCGTCTCAAAGAGTGGCGCAGGACGCCACCGAGGCCGGGACGTGGATCCAGTGAAGCAAGTCGATCCCTTTCTAGAAACTTGAGGTTCGTCACTTCCTTCGCAAGAAACTCCAAGCTCCTTCAAAAGGATCTTCAACAAGGATCTCCTTCTAAAAGTTCAACCACTTCCTTCGAGATCCGATTTCAGCTTCGGGTCGAGCTCCGAGCTACTGGAGCGGAGCAGCCAGCGTCGGCACACGTCGGCACTCGCCCACACCACTCAGGGCTGCGCAGTGGTCGGAAGTGGATGGCATGTTTTCCTTTCGAAAGACCCATTTTTGTGTCCTTTACACTGCATGGGTGTTCACTCCACTTCCATGTTTGTTGGAGGGAGTGTATGTGTTTGTCTTCCACTTTGTGGCCCATCTCTTTGCTTCGCCCTTCTCTTTGCTTCGCTCTTAATCCGGTCATACGCCCTGATGCTTGCAGGTTTGTTCAAGCGAGGGGAAGACTCCCCGAGGAACCAAAACTGACCCCTTCTCAGTTACCCGGACGCTCCATGGGACTGGAAATAGATGCCGAGTTTCACGGCCGACCGGGGTGGTGCCAGGGGGGTCCATTGATCGGCATATATATGGCAGTCCCATGGGTCGTGTATGGGTTAAAAAAACAAGTGCCTTGGGTTGAAAAAGACGCTTTTCTGTTTAAGAGCAAAACTTGAAAGCTTTCAATGGATTTTGATGTTTGTGTTCAAGATTAAGGTTTCTGTTTGGAGGGAGCCGTGGGCAAAGAAGAACATCACCATTCTTTTTAACAAGGCCTGCAACTGAACCACCATCATCCACCGGGCCTTGGTTTGTTGGGAGATATACCCCAAGAGATGTAGAATCCAAGGGATGACGCCAGCAGATTGGATGCGAAGGTCATGCCAAGTTTCACATCCACAAGCCCTGGATGGGTCGAAACCAAGCAGAGCAGAGGTCACCTCTCCAACTTCAAGAGGTCTCCGACTCCGCTTTTGCGGACTATCTAAGCAGGTCGCAGGTGGTGACCTGGCAGGTTTGGTCCCATACATCCCCGGCCTTGAATCCTGGGGTCTGATACAACCGATCCCCAAATCACTCCGACGTCTCAGAGTCTTAGGGTACCCAGACGCTCCAAACAGCCCGACCGGTCCCTCAAAACCTAGGGATTTGAGACCCCAGACCCCTCCAGAGGATTCGGGTCCGACCCCTCCATATGAGGGCCCAGGGTCGCGTCTGGGTAGTTCTTCACTTTCTGGCAAAACTCACCAGGAACGTCTACCACAATCGCTCCAATCGCACCTCCGTGCGCGGATCGCGCGGATTCGAAGCGCTCGACCGTGCGCGGATCGCGGACCGGTCGCTGCCCAGGCCCTTCGGGCAGATGTGAAGGCTTTGGGCGCTTTATGGGAGAGGCAGGGCCCTCCACCGGGCAGGCCCTGTGTACGTTGTGGGGGGGGGCACAGTAGTGGCAGTCCTCCCAGTAGTGGTAGGTCTACTAGTGGCAGTTCTACTGGTGGTAGGTCGTCTTACTCGTGCCTGTTTGGGGTCTCATGACGATGCCTGGGGGGGGGTTGGCTGCCGATCGTGACCCAAAGGTGCCACGATCTCATCATTTTGTATCTCATCCCTTGGATTGCGACCGATGGCGACCCCTCCCCAGCTTGGATTTCGGGAAGTGCTATAGGTGCTGGTTGGAGAATTCCAAAGAATTCCAAGCAGTTCCAGCACCTTCAGCACCTCGGGGTCACCTGGCGAATAGCCGCCCCAGCCCACCACGATCAGGGATCTCCAGCCAGGACACCCCTGCCTGAAGGTCCAGGTTCCAAACGTTTTGTCCATTCCTTGGACCTAGACGACCCCCCAGTCGAAGGCGGTGGTACATGAGGCGACGAAACGGATGCGATGCGAATTAGGTGTTTGAACATGTTAGTTAACGTCGGCGTTCAATGAAAACACACCGTGTTTTTTTTTTCAGAACCATCTGATCGGTTTTGTTGCTGAACAGGTTTGCCTAAGGATCCAAGTACCCTTTGAGGTTCGGTGGGACTGGGGTGGGTGCCAGAAGGGTCCAAGTACCTTTTGAGGAGGTACTTTCCTGGATCCCTATAGGGATCTTCAGAAGGAGTCAGGAAGATGTTCATGATCATCTACACCCCCTGGACCACCATCTGACCCTCGCAAGACTCCTCCAGGTCGAAGCTCTCGTCCACACCCCTGCGCCAGGCCGATCGGAGCCGATCCGTGGGAATGACAAGCAAGAAGAAAGCCCAAAGGTATTCAGATGATGGGGATTCACAGGAATATCCAGTAAATCCATCGGATCCTGGATGAATCCAGACCTGAAATCCAGATCAATGTATTGTATGATCTACCCTGGTTCAGAGACACATACTTTGAAGCTGAACACCACTGGGTTGGAGAGGAACCATCGTTTCCCAAAGGCTCATGTTCAGGTTCCGGGTGTGTTTTTGGCCGACAGATCCAGTCGTACCAACTGGACCCTGCAGACGTAGCTACTGGCAGCGGTGTCGAACACATCACCGTACCTGAGGAGGAGAAGGTACGACTGGATCCCTAGGGGATGGAGTGTCTGCGGGTTTGGGTTGACCCTAACCCTAGAAGTCCAAAGACTATATTTTGACCGGCTGAAGTAAAGGAACTTCCCTTTCAGGTCCCTTAAAAACCATTCTTTTTATAGTCTTTGACTCCCAGGGCTAATGGAATGGATCTGGTCAACCCAGGCTTCGATTCGCCAGGCTAGCATCGATTCGTCGATTCGTCACCAGACGGCATTGTGTATCGTTTTTGGTCTCCAAAGACCATTTTTTTCTGCGTTTTTGTTTTTGGTCTAATATGTTTGCGTTTTTGCTCGAAAAACGCGTTTTTAGAGATGAGGACTCAACAAAAAGGTGCAGAGTGAATCTTCATCCGGACGCGTCCGGCACGGACGCTTAAAGACGCCTTTTGGACGCAAAAAGACGCGTTTTGGACGCCGAAAAAAGGTCTCAGGACACTGTCTAAGGAGGATCTGACAGGGCACAAACAAAAAAGGAACATTTCGTGACATATGCAAAAAAGAGCGCTTTCTTTCAAAAACCTCTTTTTCTTGGAAAGGCAAATTTAAAAGGGTCATTGGAGACTCAAGGATAGTTGCTTGGTATTGATGTGTTGAGATCCAGCTGCAACTTCCCTTCATCGGCGATATAGTGTTTAATTCTTCCACCAAGAGAGGTTGAACAGCCGTGTTTATAGCCCATCCTATATGTACCACAGACCAGGTCTGAACGTTCAGGTCTCTCAACCTCTCTTGGCAGTCAACCTATAAAGCACGATCAGAGGTAGGACTGTAGGGACTTCCCCGCCGCATAGTGCAAACACGACCATGTTGTGCACGTCTAAGTGACGACTTCCGTCGCCGTTTTGGGCGTCCCATGACCATGTTGGGTGTCCCAAATACCACCGGTGGGAAGAATTGAATACATGCCGCCCCATTGACCCCGCAAAACATCACCCGCCCGTTAACCATCTTTTATATGCCAACTACCGAACCAACTAAGGTTTAAGGATTTGACACGACAAAGCCAGGTCAACCCTTCCAACAGAGGTTGAAGAACCCTATAGGCTATCCTTTGGGTACCCCTGTAGGGTCCTAGTTCACTATCCGCCTGTGTTGGTTGTTTGAATGGTCTTCATTGGAAGTCCAACGGGGACGTGGTCTGTGGGCCACATCTGAGTAGCTTGACCATGGCACCGGGAAGAGCCCAGAGGTGCAGCTTGGTTTTGATCGGGGTCACTGGTCAAGACCCTGGGTCGGTGGTGGTCTGAGGTCACTCAGGTTCCCAAAAGCTTGGTCCTTGGATGTCATTGCTATGACCTGGAAGTGGTACCTGGACCTTCAAGGGGTGTCCAAGACTGTAGAGACCCAAAGCCCTACAAGTAGTGTAGGGGCTTCCCATGGACCCATGGACCCCGAGCTGAAGGTGCTGCTAGGAATCTTCTGGACGTTCAACCCCGCAGACCCTCCAAAAGCTTTGGTCATGCATGTCTGAAGGGTGCGAAGTTGTGCGAATGCAAATCAAGATGTTCAAGATAGGATTCCGGGCCCATCATTGGTCTATATAAAGGGTTTTTTACTCAACCACACATGGTTCTACTAACCTTAATGGGAGTCAAAGACACAAAGAATGGTCTGACTAGGTGACCCGAGTCCAAGAATGTCCTTTACATCAGTCGGTCAAAATATAGTCTTTGGACTTCTAGGGCTAAGGATTTTACACTTACTAAAAAACCGTCTTCTCAGGTAGCACGGCGACCGGGTGATTAGGGCTACCATACGTTCTGAACTGAAGTTTACCATCACCCGACGATAAAGGTCTCCATTTCGTACATTTTGCCCCATGAAATCCCTTGCACACTCCTTTTGTTTTGTTTGATTGCAGGTTCAGTCTGAAACTGGGTGGCGGTTTCCGATATTTTGTGTTCAACCTCTGCTTGGGAAGATTGAACCCAAGCAAATTGAAACCACACAGCAGGGAATCTTTCCCCAAGTAGCCCTCTTTCAGTCCTCTTTCGGCTGCCAATCACAGAATAGTTGGAGAGTTTTCACTCCCAACACTGCCTGCGATCGCAGGTGATGTTGCGCTTCTGTGCGGAGCCCTGGAGAAGAAGGATGTTTCAATAGAAGAAAAGCAGCTGAAGTCGAGGAGAGCCCGCGGGAGGAACCTTGTGGGGCAAAACGATCCCACGGAAATCGACTTGGCGTTTGCAAGTGTATATGGAGTGTCTTGGTATTGTGTTGTTCATGTGTTTGTTCCAACCAAAGACTTCGAGATTCGTTGGTCGTTGATCGAGCGTTGGCTGCACGAAAATTCCCCCAGACAAACGAGACACAAAACGTCGCGGATATACCCAATCACTCCGTGTATGCCGTTTCATCCATACAAGCAGCCAAGTTCGGCAGACATGTTTTCACAGTTGGAGATTCAGTCTCCGAATTGTCACATGCGCTGTGACTTTGATTGGAAATCGTTCAATGACAGGTTTTGAGTATTGGCTGAGTGAAACCATTGGTATGCCCAAGTGTCAAGTGCTAAGTGCGAAGGTTTGCGAGCAATCTAAGATGCACTCAGATCCAATCAACCTCCATCAAGCTCTTTTAGCCATGGCAAAGCACATTTCAGTGCTGCAGCCGAGTGGTGAAATCCTGGTTCTGGAAGTCACACCAAAGACTACAGGCCGCGAGCTCAAGCAGCAAATCAAGGAGGGACAGCCGAGCTGGGACGAGTTCACTCGCAGCACCACAAGTGTGGAGATCATTGTCGGAGAGAACCACTTTCTGGCCAATGATGCTAATGTATTCGAAGCTGGAATTGGTGAAGATAGTGCTGTGACTGTCGTCTTCAAACCAAACAAAGTGATATGTTCCAACAAAGATGCGATCGCCAGTCTTGACGGCATTGACTCAGAATCGTTGCTTGCGGTTGAAATCCCTGACGAAGAAACGAAGATACTGGAAAGCGCCTTTGCTGGGTGCTACAGATTAGCCAAGTTGAAAATCCCACACTCAGTGACCCACATCAATAGTTATGCCTTTGCAGGTTGCAGTGCATTGGCGAGCTTGATCATCCCAGAATCAGTGACCCGCATTGAAGATGATGCCTTTATGGGTTGCGCTTCTTTGGTGAACTTGAGCATCCCAAACTCAGTGACTTACATCGGGAGTTTTGCATTTCAAAGCTGCCCTTTGGTGAACTTGACAATCCCATATTCAGTGACCCACCTTGGGAACTATGCCTTTCAGGGATGCATCTCTTTGGCAAACTTGTCGATCGCGAACTCAGTGACCCACATCGGGGAGTACGCCTTTATGGGTTGCAGCTCTTTGACAAGCTTGGCCATACCAGACTCACTGACTCACATTGCGAGTGGCACTTTTGAACATTGCAGTTCTTTGGTAAGCTTGAACCTCCCGAGCACCTTGACCCATCTTGGGGACTGCGCCTTTGAGGACTGTCGCTCCTTAGTGAACTTGACCATTCCAGACTCGGTGACCCACATTGGGAGAAGTACGTTTCGGAATTGTTTCTCCTTGGTGAAAGTGACCATCCCGAATTGCGTGACCTACATTGGGGATTGCGCCTTTCGGTCTTGCAGCTCCTTGACAAGCTTGACCATTCCGAACTCATTGACACACATCGGAGATCACGCCTTTGATGGCTGCCGATCTTTGCTGTTGACAGTGTCCATCTCCGGGACCAGCTTCGAGATGCACAAGCTACAGGGGTGCAAAAGGATCATAGCAAAAGAATGTCACTGTCATGAATGCGAGTACAGCTGGTTTCTGAAAGGCTGGGTTTGTCCACAATGGCGCTAGGTGTTGGCCAGGAGTCTGCAGCGACCTGGTCGGGAACATATGATCGCAGTTGTGCAAAAGGGCAGACTTCCAATCATGAGCATCTTTTTTCCCCCATCCCCAGAAAGAGGTTAAGTAACCATAATGATAGGACCCGGAACACCTGGGGTACCGATATAGGATATTCGAACGCTCGGGTTCGCTCCCCACCTTTGCTGGTCCCCAGGATGAGCTTCGAGGTCTTCGGGTGTCCAACCGTCGCTGCAACGGTGCACCGAAACGCCGGTCCAACCGTCGCGAGATGCGCTGCGCTGCGCGCGGACCGGACGTATGTGCGAACGGTGCGGTGCGACCGGACCGAAGCTTCCAAGAGAGGTTGAGAGGAGACTTGATACGTTTGAGACCTGAACGTCTGTGGTACATATACCGGATTCATCCCCAACCATGGTTTTAATGGTTTTTACCAAAGAGCCATTGTTTTAAGGATTTTTACACTACACCACCAGCTCGTTCCCGTTCTTTTAATGGTCTTTGAAGGCTAGGGTATATGGAATGGGCTATAAACACGGCTGGACTGGACCGGTCCCTGGAAGAGGGTTTTCCGACCCAGATCTACCAGTCCCAACGTACGTCCAGTTTGACAGAGTAAAACCTGGTCTGCCCTAGCTCCAGAATGGGTTTTTGTATGACCATCTCCAGGATTTCATGGGGTCAGACTGACTTGTACCAGGACCCTCCAACAGGCTGTTTGGAGACCTTAACAGGTGGTTTCTGGGCACCTGTTGTCACCAGGAAGCACCTGTAGAGTCGGGTGCTGGTAGGGAGTGGTTTGACTTGGTTCCGGATTTCGACCTCACCCAGGACTCCTTGACCCAGGAGGCGTATGAAGATGACCTGACCTTCAAAAGGGGTCAGTCCCTAAGTAGTTGACTCTCTGAAGGTGCAGGCAACCAGTAGATACTCATGTAGCTTTGGGTCAAAACCATGAGCCGTACACCCTGCTAGGTTTGACCTCCCTAGAACATCTATTCTATTCCATTTCTATATATGACCATCAGGCCGGTCTATCATAGGCTTGCCGGGTGACCTCCCATCAAGTGACTTCTCCGGTCGAGGGCCGTTCACGGCGCCGAACGCCCTCGGCGTTCGGCGGAGGTTATCTCCGGAACCTCATGAGCAGCCTCTACGGTACGGGCACCCGCGACACGACCCGAGCAACGCCGATCGGCGCGGACCATCGTCGCTGGCCTTGTTTTCGGTCATGGCAGCGGTGTTGGCCTTTCCGAAGACGGGTCTAAGTCACTGCATGGAAATCCGACTGGGAAACCCACTTCTTTTCAAGAAGTTGGGTATTTGGGTGTCACCCAAAGTCTTGGGCTCCATGTGTTCTTCACCCAACTGGTGTTCAACCGCTCTTCTTTCTGTGCTTCCCTCCGCTCTTCTCCGACGGGGCCCACGACGTCCTGAAACTGAACGTCCCCATGCGTCCGATGATGCGAAACAAACGCGTGGTGTCGGCTGCCAGTCGTACCTCCGACCCGGTTCGGTATGACGACTCGACCCACCCCAAAGAACCCCAAAGGATCTTCTCAGAAGGTGCACTCTGATGAACACATCACATGGTTACGTGGATGGCATGGCCCGTTGGAAGATTCCTTTTACAAACATGCGGATGTTCCACTTCCTACTCGTGGCTGGCTAAGGGTCCGCTGGGTACATGTTGGCGTTACCCATGTTAGTCAGGCTATTCCACTTTCATGTTGGTCCCCTACGGCTCCTGGCCCACCTCCTGAGAAGATGGTTGGGGCGGTCTAACCACCTGCGGATATGGGTCGTTCGGAGCCCAAAGCGGTCAGTCAGCGTGGTTTCCTTGGAGCTTTGGGACGTCTCGATTCCTTGGTTTCGCCTTCCGCAAAGACCGAGGTGTCACTTGGGTGCTGCTGTGCTTGCTGGGCAACGGTGGCTTCGCGCTCCTGTCTGCCATGGCATGTGAGCGAAGACGGGATTCCGCTTCCGCAGACACGACCTGTTTGGGACTGGCAGACACGACATGCCGCCCCAGATGCCGACCCTGGGTCAATCCACCACCCCCCTGGCCTGATCAGTGAATAGTCCAGTCCCTTGCAGTGTTGGGGACAAGATGGGAAGAGCTGCATGTATATGGACTTGTTGGGGTCTGATGAAGAGCTTGCATCGTGAAGCACCAACACACCGTTGGGGGCGAGTGGTTCTACTTAGCAGGGCAGAGTGAACATTTCTGGGCTTTGCAAAAAGTGCTTCATCGAGTTCATGATGCTTCTCCAACTCCGGAAATTCTCCAACGTCCCATGCTTGGACCAGACATGACCGGACCCGTGGTTGTTTCGCTGGATTTTGCAGGTCACTATCGGGCCGGGGTTGGTGCGACAATGAGTCGCTGCAGTAAAATGGGCAGATCACCAACCATATTTGGTTTAGATCTATGGCCCTTCTTCCGGAATAGCGCAATGGTAGATCTGCCTGCTTACAATACACATGCATCTACTACAATCACTACCCCCTACCCCAATTGCATCCATCAGTCATTTTAACATCATCAACAGATATCAACAGAGCCACTCTAAGCAGTGAGGCACCACATCATGATCCAAGATCCCCCTGCAACCTCAAATTTTAGAAGCCCCGAGTCGCATCGCGGACAGATGGGGCTCTAAAGACCAAACACGGAATTGTGTTTGTTTGATGCAAAAGGATTTCATTTACATCGGGTGCCCGAGTTTTCAAACCGGGAACCACCGGCCGGCCGGCCTGGGTCGTCTTCGTTGAACAGACCCGGCCGGATGAAAGACCTGGACTCATCAGCCCCTTTGAGCTGAAGTCCTTCCATCTGCATCTGGCTTCGCTCCAGATGGATCGTTACCATAGCCCTCAAGATGTTTTGATCATTTTACACTCCTTGAACTCATCGAAGTTGGGAGCATTTTCATAGTAAAGTCATCCGATTGATCGATGCCATGTTTCTTTTCCCATGCACCTCCCAAATCCACCATCTCTTTCGGGAAGTGTACTATTCTATGCTCCATGACGTCCTCTCTGTACAATTATGCAGGGGTCGGACCCGAATCCTCGGGTCAGGGGTCTGGGGTCGAACCAAACCCTATGCTTTTGAACGGAGTGTTTGGGTTTGAAGAAATTCCCATCCAAACCGCAAAGTCGGCCGCCGCGGCGGAGGGTTGTTTCCTCCAGTCGTGATGCTGCCAGATGCTGCCATGCGCATTCCTCCCGTACCGAGAATCCTTCGAACTTTGGCCCGACACGCCCTCGTCCGGTGTGTCTTTGGTTAACGATCCGGACCCGGTGCCAGGTTCTTGCAAGCGGACTGGAGCAGGCACCGAATGTTTGGACGTGGAAAACCAGAGGTGTTGAACAGCCTGAAAGGTCGCACGTCCCATATGTACCACAGACCAGGGTCTTAGTTCAGGTCTCTCAACCTCTCTTGGAAGTTCATGGTTTGGCCTGAAGAAGCGACGCCACCGACACCACGCCACCCTCCTCAGGGATGCGTGGGTTATTACGGTGGGTTGAGAGTCGATGGCACCATCCCCACAAGGTGGTAGTTTATATGGACCCCTAATGACCCCTATATTAAAAGACATCTTAAGGGGTTTGTGCCATCTACTCTCAATCCACTGGATAGAGGATCGTGAAAAACATGTCCCCATTCGAGCCCGGCCAGCCAGGCCGATCGCCAGGGTTGCTGGGGCGACGAGGATCACCGACCAGCTTGTTGTTGTTTTTTTTCTCCACCGAGACGCTCCAAACAGCTCTTGGTCTCTCAAAACCTAAGTATTTGAGACCCCTGACCCCTCCATATGAGGGTCCGACCCCTCCATATGAGGGCCCATGAGCGAAAGGGCAGGTGATCGATTTGATATGCACCCAGACGCGAACCCTGGACCCTCCGTTCACGGGCCCGACCCGAATCCTATGCAGGGTCTGGACCCTCCAATCTCGATTTGAGGGACCAGTCGGCCTGTGAACGGAGCGTTTGGGCTGCCGCTTTCTTGTTCAGGTCATTTGCTGCAGACCTGGCCGAAATATAATGTTCAATGAAGAGCATACGAAGCAATCTGCTACACGAGTTTGCTGCTGTTGCCTCCCCAAAAAAAAAGCGTCGCGAAGCTGTTGTGGTGTTGTATTCGGGCAGCATCGCGTTGAATCACATAGGTGCGCATCTCAAACAGCCATCTATTGCCAAATGAAACTCTCCTGTTTCATATACGCCATTCATTCATACCCAGACACTCCATGGGACTGGAATGTATGGCCTACCCAGACGCTCCAAACAGCCCGACCGGTCTCTCAAAACCTAAGTATTGGTTCGACCCCTAACCCCTGACCAGTTCGGATTCGGGTCCGACCCCTCCATAGGTTCGGGCCCAGGGTCGCGTCTGGGTACATTGACTTGACATGACTTGACTCCCTTTCAACCACCCCTGATCGACAGTCATCGACAGTCCGGACTGGCAGTCCCATAGGTTGCGTCGGGGTCATCTACAAGTGACTACCCCTAGGCTTCCGTTCGACCATTTAAAGAAATGGGAACGACCTGGTTTTTGTAGTGTAAAATCCTCAGTTGATTCGGTAACGCCTATTCAATTAATGGTGGGCCAGGAAGCCTAGGGAGTGACTACTGTGCCACCAGTCGCGTGATTTCTGCCCAGTCGTCCAGTCGTCCACGGTCCTGGGACGGTCCAAGCGTCGCTGTCCGTGTGGGCGAACTCCGGCGATGACCTTCCAGGCGGCTTGACGGCCATCATTGGATTGATGGCCACTGGGATTGGCTTGTTCGGCGCGGGTTCACCGGCGTTGAGGTCCAAAGGTCCCAAATGGAAGATTTACATGGAACATCATCGCACGACACAAAGCGCAATTGAATGGCAATTCATAGATTTCATATAGCATATAATTATAGCACAAACCGCAGATAGCAACAAATGGTCCTCCTGCTTGAGAATTCAGGTGAAAATGGAAGGATCTTTTTGGGACAATGACAGAGAGGAACAGAGTGCATTTTTGTCTGGGGTCTTGAATCTGGACCAAATGCTGTCCGGCAGTCTTCAAGTGCACCTTGAGGCCCTTCTAAAGACGAGTTGCCCAAAATGATACGCTCCAAACAGCCCTTGGTCCCTGATGTTTACAAGCAAGGCCATGTTTAGCTTGTGGCAGGCGTGAAGGAGAGCCTTCCTTTCGAACCAAAGTTCGGAGGGTGCTGGGAACCCAAGTTCGATTAGCCCTTAGTCCTTTGCACGGCCACGGCCGAGCGTCTTTTGCTGGAAAGCCTGACTATCGTGCAGCAGGGAGGTCAATCGTGGATTAGCTCGGATGCTCACTGCCAAGGCAGTACGACAGAAATCAGGATTGGCCAAGTTGGCGTCCTTTTGGCCAACGCTGGTCTTCAGTACTCTGAGTCTCAAGACCAGTGAACAATAGTCTGTTCACAGTACTGAAGACCAGTGAACAATAGATTCAGATGAAGACTATACTGTACTTTTCCTCTGAGTCTGGCGATCTATCCTATCTTCATCTATTGTTTCGCTCAGGATGAACCTGGCAGACCAGGCTTCGCTTCAGCTTCATCGACCACCCCCCGGTCCCGTAGACCAGCGAAGTCAGAGAGGTCGGCGAGAAGTGGAGAGGTCTCGTGATGGGCGACTTGCGCATGAGAGGGAGGAGTGCAGCGACTTCGCAGCTTCCTGCTGGGGGAACCTGACAGAGGGAATGCCTCAGATCTATAAGTGTTTGATGCAAGTGTCCCGGTGTTTTCCTTGCCAGGCATCACTGACCTTGGTTGGAGATGTGTCTCCATGGAGAACACCTCTAACTCAAAGGGCACGCCTTCTTCAAAAGGAGCACAAGGAGCAGATGAGTCCATGACGGAGATGAAGGCATCGGTGACGCCGCATGAAGACATCAGTCACGCCCATGCGTTGTACCGTCTTCATGCGTCGGGTCCATGCCACTACCGTCGGTTTTCACGTATGGGCAACAACCCAAGATGAAACTGCCGCTATATGGACCCTCCTGGCCAGGTGTTTCCTGGTGGCAACAGGTGCCCAGAAACCACCTGTCAGGGTCCCAAAACAGCCTGTTGGAGGGTCCTGGTATATGGATGAACATGCTGAAGATGAAACTATTTGCATGGGAGGAATAGATGCCGATGAATTGACCACTGAATTCTCAACCACCGCTTTTCATCGTGTTTGGGTGAGGGAATTGTTGGCCGGAGATTTTTGGCTCTTACAATTGCATTCAATTGCCTATCATTTGAGGGGATCAATGTTCTTTAAGCTGTACAACTCTTAGACAACCCCCAAAGAACACGTATTACGCCTCAAGGAAAGAACCTCCCTACCCCTTGCAATTGCATTTTGGCTGAACAACACTCTTTTTTCAGACTTCTTCGACCCTGACCGCCAGCCGGATACTCCCGGCATGGAACGTTGACGGTTGGTCAACGGAGGGAGGAAGGTGGAGAACGACAGGGGGACTGAAACAGGGTGACATATTCTAGGTGATGGTTTCGGATATATGTTCAACCCTTACTTGGGGATGATTGGACCCTTACTGACTCATATTTATCGGATGTGGGTTGAAAACACCAACCTGTATTTTATTTAGGGCCCCTGCCGTGTGGCGTGACCTGCTCACACCTGTGTGAATGGATTTCTGACATGTGACGTCACTTCTGCAGTACCACCTTTCTTTCGGTCACCGGTGCCGCCCCGGGCGCCCACTACTAGACTGGATCTCCCGCCAGGGCACCCCGAGCTCGTTTGGAAGCGTATCCAATTCCTTTGGTCCATTGGCGCGCAGCCGCACGTGCGGCGCGCCGCGCGCAGCCCTGTGCGCAGCCCTCGCAGCGGCTGGCCTGCTCGCTCGCCTCGCTTTGAGGTCTTCAACTCGTTTTGGGTGGAGCTGCTCTGGCATTGGCCACACGCAGCGAGGCGCAGCTTCGAGTGAGGCGCGGCGGAGGGTGGAGACCGGCAGCGTCGCCTGGGTCACTTCGGTGGGGGAGGGAGACTGGCTCTGGGTCTGGGTGGGGAGGGTGTTTCTTCTTGTTGGAGGTGGTCAAAAGGATGTCAATTGGTGGTCAAACGAGGTCTTGTTCCTTCTCACCTGGACGTTTTGAAGCACTAGGCCATTACAGAACCAACTCCTTCACTCGGGGTCACTTGGCTGTTGCAGCCGAACCAGCTCACTACTCTCCGGGAGATCCCGCCAGGACATTACTCCTTAGAAAGGTCCTGCCCAGACGCGACCCTGGTCCCTCATATGGAGGGGTCGGACCCTCATATGGAGGGGTCTGGGGTCTCAAATCCCTAGGCTTGAGGGACCAAGGGCTGTTTGGAGCGTCTGGGTGGTGGGGTTTCGCTTTGTCATGAAACGAGATGGATCTACAGACAACGAGACGAACGAAGAAGATGTAGTACCTAGCACTTCCAATGGGTGCCCTGTCTGGAAGCCTATAGTAAGTAGGGTAGGGTAGTCGAACGCCAGGACACCCCGGTCCAGGATGATCCTGGTAGCTTTCACCTCCAAGGATTGGATGTGACCGCGAACCATTTGCTGCACCCATCAAAGCTCCTGGACCCTCTACCTGGAGTCTCCAAAGTACCTTAGAAAATGGGACATGACCCCATAACAACAGGTACGACTGAGTCCCCATTGTCCGAGGTACGAACTGAGACTCCTGGACCCTCTGCAGGGGGGTCGGACCCTCAAAACCTCCAAACCTAGGTCCGACCACCGCATGCTCGTCCTTCACCCGGACTCCAGGTACGCCGCGCAGGGCCAGCGCGCCGAAGCGGTCGCTCAGCTAGAGCGGTGTTATACTAGGGGCAGCCGGTGGGTGCGGGGGCACTGGGATGGTGGTGGTAGACTTCGGTTTGGGCTTTGTATGGCTTTGTACTTGTGTGATTTATATAAGTTATGACAGTTATGCGCTATATATGGATGTGATGTATGGATGTGATATATGGATATATATGGATGCGCTCCAAAAACTCCTCGAGAAAGCACCACTTATACTCATAGGTGTACTCGCAAGTATAGGTTAAGTATATAGTCTCTATACAGGGGAGGTGGAGGGGGTTCTTGTCCGATCGGACTGAACGATGTTTGAACCCGGATTTCATGGCAGGATGATGCAAAAGGAAGATGCATAAAAAAAGGGCAGACCCTCTTCCGGATATTGTTTGAACACACCCAGGATGGGATTCTACAGGTAAACAATGGCAAACAGCCTGATATGGATTCAGCCTGAGATCTGCGGCAGCTTTGAACAGGGATCAACGTAAGAACCCGAGAGACACCGGGTCGCTTCGCTTCGCAGCGAGTTCCGGGTCGTCCGAGGGTCGGACTCGCCCGAGTTCCGAAGACAGGTCGCCTGAAGACCGTCCCGGTCACGAATTAGACCAGTCTTCGGAATTCGACCAGGTACCAGTCTTCCGGCGTGATAGTAGGTGAGAATGTGATGTTTGAACCATGTACTGAATTAGACCGGTGGTGCACCTGCTCTTTTGCATGCATGTCCAGTCCAAATGAGCAGAAGACGAAGCATAACGAAGCTATGAAGGGAGATACACTCTGACGTATACACATCACATGGAACACCACGTGGCAAGTAAAGGAAAGTAGTCTTCCAAGTGACCATGCCATCCACTTCGATGTGTTCGTCAGAGTGTACCATACTAAAACAAACATGAATCGTCTGGAAGGATCTAAAACCGACCAACGAACCGCTGGCTCCCACCTGGCTCATCATCGACCCGGCGATTGGAACGGACAACGGACCCATGGGTCTAGACTTTGTGAACGTGTTTTTCTTTATCCAGCCCTACTCGACCTTTGGGTTGTTGGATGGAACATAGTCAGGGGGTCGAAAACACCCAGCAGACCAAACACACTTGGAATTGATGGTTTGCTTTTTTGGTCCAATTCGTCTATATGGGTCGTTGAACTCAGCCAAGAGTTGGCTGCAGCACCCCTCATCACATCGGACCCGCCATAGAACCGGGGCCGCTGGGTGCAGCTCCTGAACACGAGAGAACAGCCGATTGGGTCGGTCAACCTGATGGTTGTCATCACGTCCAAATGTCCTACGTACTGTACCCCCAGTAGTGAAGTGTTTTTTCTGGATGTTTTACTTAGGCGTTGTTATGGTAGTAAAATAGTTGATGGAGAAAAAATACTGAGGAAAACCCCACCCCAGCCACCACCACCACGACGACAGCCGCGGCAGCAGCAGCCACAGCAAGAGCCACTGCGGCGCTGCTGGCGGCACCGCCTGGCAGCCAAGATTCAAGAGAGATGGGACTTCGTTTCACAGGGTCTGTGGGAAGGGTGGATGTTGGAGCAGGTGCCCTTTCAAATCTCAGCACACCCATTTTCCATCATACTTCCATCAAATCATCACTGGCCCTTTGGCCACCCCATCGCATCCTGGATCCCCTCAACGATCTTGCTTACCAATGCCACCGGCCACGCGTTGCCACAAGCACCCATCAGCTTCCTCAACTGACATTCAATCAGTGGCCAATATTGGCAAATTGAACGTGACAAGCAACTTGAACTCAAAGCCAACCAAGTTTCGCAGAAGAGATGTCCATCTCTTTGGCGCACGCCGCCAAGTCATCCGGCAGACCCATGAGCCGAAGGCACTCCTTAAGTTTTCAACATGCAAAATGAAAGACATCCAATAAATCACCTGTGGATGAACAAGAGGTGCGTTGGGCTTAAGCAAAATGACAAAATGAAGTGGCAGGCCAGGGAGCTACAGCATTCAAGGGACGCTCCAAACGGGTGAGCCAGAATCCACCTGAACTCGCCCTCGTCCTCGTGAGACATGGAGCAATGTCCCTTTTGGGCTTGCACTGGAACTTCACCGATGCACCAATGTCCACCAGCCTCAAGTAAGACACAATAGGAGATTGAAAGACAGTTGGTAGTCCCAAACAATTATTGTTCACAAGGTGGACTTTTTGTCATTGGTTGACCAACTAAGTTAAAGACCACACTTGCTTCTTAGGATCACCGCCCAGCTTGGCAATCCTCCGCTCACCAATCTTGAGCATTTTGGATGCATGCTTTGAAAGGGCACCTGAATCAAGCTAGGCACCTAAATTAAACTTGGGGCAAAGAATTCACAACAAGCCTGGATTTGCAATAAGAGTTTAGCCTGGAGACTGCGGGCATTCTTCTTTCCAAAGGTTCGACATAAGAGCGATCGAAATGAAGTTCGGTTGGATGAAAACTTTGGCCACTTGAATGACTTCCTTGATTCAACAGTTTTCAAAAAAGATCTGTTGATCTGTTTGTTGACACCAAGTTTCTTCTTGTTCTTCTTCCTGAGCGCCACCAGAAACAATCGTCGGCGTGATTGGGCCATTCCAAAGTCCTGGGTTGAAAGTTGAACACAACAAGCAACTAATTAGTTCATGGTTTCACACCACAACCAAGAAACCCTTCTTAAAAGACCAGACTCAGCCGCATTGAGAATTGCAGGATGGATGTCATAGTATGGTGTACCATCAGCTTCTTTGATCCCCTTGAGCCTCAGACTAATAAAATGGTTCCTGAGGGGTTAGATACTTACCCATGCCAATGTTTAAAATTTAAGTCCAGGGACGTTGTGATCCACTTGTCATAGATGGACCTTTTCAGCTTCTTGTTGCGAACCACATGTGGGACCTGCTCCACCAATGCTGCTTCTGGCCGCTTGGCCTTGATATAATCAATGCATGCCACCATGCATCCTGTACGTGGGTCTTCCTTAGATGCTTAATTGGCATAATGGCACCAATCCCTGAACAACTTGTGAACACATCGTGCAAGGGTTCAAGCAAGATTCCAGACCTCGTTTTTTGCCAGCCACAGACACACCTTGACATGGCGGCCCTGCTCCATAGAGATGCACCCTGGGCATTTTGTTGACATTCCTTTTTGTAGCATCCTTGGTCAGTTAAAGCTCAGAACCAAAGTAAAGTGTTGAGGTGTCCCTGAAAAATACATGTTCCAAAGTTAAAATGTTGAACATCCCTGAATCCAAGAGTCACTGAACACAACCTTGGGGGAATGGACCCGTCCAGCCATCAGCCTCAAGGCATTGTCCTTCTCGCTCAAGAACTCCAAGCTGTACGGGATCTTAGATTTCCTCAGATGATGGGCAGTTGGTTGGGGTGTCATTTGAAACACTTCCATGATCATTATAGTTCAAGTTGAATGGCACCACCAAGCATCGTGAGAGCCCAGCTCAAACATTCTAATCCAGAAAAGTCTGATCCGATCTTGATTTTCATTGGCATGGCCGTGACACCAGCGCGGACTTGGTTGTTTCGTTTTCTTCATACACATCCGTGGTACTGCCTGGTGACATGTTGCCATATGTTTATTGATTGTCCTTGCAAAAAGCTTCACACAAAGCAGTGGCCCATGAAGCCCATGAGGTCTTCACGACCTCCAGAGCCCCCACGCTGATTTGAACATAGACGGTGTCATCAATCCATAGTGCTGCTCAACCAGCATGGTACCACAAGTTCAAGTCAGTACGGCGAGTGAGACGATTGAGATTTTTCTGGGAACCTTCGATGATGATCATCAATCGGTGCTCTCACCGACGAGTGGCTTCTAAGACTAAGATTGTGAGAGGCCAGCCAGGAATCTGACTCAAATGGACTCTTGCACAGTGTCTTTTCATGGTTTGTTGCTTTGAAGGTCAGACTCCCTCCTGAGAGCTCCCATTCAACTGCACCCAACGTCACAGACATGTCATGGTGCAAGCAAAAACCGACTGGCCACCAGTGACCCCTTGAGTGAATCGGACATATCTATAGTTTTATTTTCAACATTGAGCAATGAACCAGATAGTCTTTCACATGTCAAAATTGTTGAATTGGTTGAGTTGAACTTTGAATCCAACAATGGAAACATTCTTTAAAAGGAGCTCACTCAACCCACCACCACTGGTTGGCC